GTAAATCTGTTACAATTTTTTTTTTAACATTTATTAACTATTTTTGCGTGCAGCATTTAATCCTGTTTTCATATTGTCATTTCAGAGATCGAAGATGAAACACTGGTGACGTTATTGGAGATGGATCAGGCCAACAAAGAGAGTGAAGCATGTGAAAGTAGGCTGTTAACAATGCATTACCACTGTGTCACTCATGCAATATAAACAAATAGGTAGCAAGCAGATGCACAGCGTAGCTTACTTTAACATATATACAGAATATTATTATTACACTTTATTTTACTTTTTGTTCTTTTAAATAACTTTATTTAAATAGATTTAAAAAGCTAGAAATGTTGTCCATCATGAAATCAGATTGTGAAAAAGATTGTGAATATATGTGTAATGCCTGTTTTATAAAAAATAGTGTTTTAGATATCTTGATTCAGTGATTCTCATACTTTTTACACCGAGTACCACCTTATAAAATATTAGGCTCTTCAAGTACTGCCACTGTGGGGCGGCTGAGAGGTGGTCGTCCACCAAGCAGCGTCCACCAATCGAAAGATCAGCGGTTTGATCCCCGGCTCCTCCAGTCTGCATGTCACAGTATCCTTGAGCAAGATACTGAACCCCAAATTGCTCCCGATGGCTGTTCCATCGGTGTGTGAGTGTGTGAAAAACTGAGTAGCAGGTGGCACCTTGTATGGTAGCCTCAGCCACCAGTGTGTGTGTGAATGGGTGAATGTGATTCATAGTGTAAAAAGCGCTTTGAGTGGTCAGATGACTACACGGGCGCTATACAAATGCAGGTCCATTTACCATTACTGTGACCAACATTATAATACAGTAGTGTAGGCAAACTATTCAGCCACAGGAGACAGATATATTCCTAGTCACAAGATTATTTATTGTTGACTGTTGTCAGCTAGAGCCAAACTGCATAAAGGATGAGCACTATAACTACCACGTACATTCTTCCACGAAACTCATCAGTTTCTGTGGCAACTTAACTGACACTGCTTACGTAGCCAGTAGCTCATGACCTCAGTTGATTGTCATCCACTTCAGTTTCAACAGGGCTGCTCGAAATATTCCCCTCCTGATCTGCATTTCACTTTCTAATAGTTTGGTTAATAGCCATTCAACCATTCATTTTACCTTCCCTTACTATCATGCGATCAAAGCTTAGCTTATAACTAATTATAGATATATTTGCACGCTATGTTCATGAACGTGACTATATAGCAGGCTATTATCAAAACAGAAATATTACAGAAAAGGCAAAACTTATTTTAATTTGTATCATATTTCTAAGTTTAAAAGCATTTTCATTTGAGTTGTAGTTTTTTAATATTTTGGAGATTCCTCTGTATCACTAAAGGGGGCTTGTGTACCACCATTATGGGAACCAGTGTCTTAATACTTATTTTCATATATCAGCTGCTCATATATTTTGTGCTCTGTCACAGATGAATCAGATGATGAGATGAACCATGGACCATCTTTGAGTGCAGAGGAAAGAGAGTCAGCAGGTATGTGTTTATATGGCTGATACAGAAACAGTTAAACTCTAGTAAAACTCTAATATGTGTTGAGTACTTGTTATGGTTGCTCTGCTGGTTACAAATTTAAAATATGTGATAAGTCAGGCTACAATGATCTGAAATGGGCTAGTCAAGGATAAACTGAAGACAATAAGTTTAATCGAACATCTGGGGCTTTGCCTACTGGCTGTCCTAAGAGTTAGAACAAAACACGGTTAGGCACTGATTTGCCACCATGCAACACAGACCTGGAATAAATTTTAAAATAAAATAAAAATAAATAAATATTTATTATTCCAAATAATATTAGACAAGCCCTGACTCTGACCAACTTTAAGTCAAAAGTCAAAGCTAAAAAATTTCCTCCTCTACACTACGCACTCTACTCTGTAGTGGCTTAAAACTTAGCTCAGCTTAGCTTTTAAGCAGCCTTCATTTTACTGGATTGATAGGTTTGTCCTTATCTTTTGTATCTGTTGTCTGCACACTTAATTATAAGTCTTTTATCTTAACTGTATTTTCATTACTCTGTACAGCACTGCAGATGAATTGTGCTATATACTTAATGTTGTCTTGCCTTGCCTAGTCTTTGCAGTGACAACATGTTTACATGAATGTGGAACTTAATGAGGATATACATTTAACAACTCAATATGTAAGTGTGATTGAAAATGTTGAGAAAGTGCTTTATTAGATCAGTCAGTCCCTGCAGCATATGTTTTGGGGATATAGTGTAACTTTGATCCTTCTATTCGTTTTGTTTTATTTTCTCACAGAGTTGGAAGAAGCTCTTAAAAGAAGTCTTCTGGAGTTCTAAGGACGTGATCTAATTCGGTTTTTGTGACACAATGTCCACTGAGATGTTTTGTACCAGGTATTTGTGTTCAGAATATATTGAATAAACAGTTGCTATTCTAAGTTTTCTGTGCTTTTAATCATTTTATAAAAGTATCAGTATGTGAATACATAATAAATATAATAAAATAAACATAGGGCATTCCCATAACAGGGAACAACTCAGTTGGTAGGAGGTTGGTTGTGGCTGTGGATTTATGTCCTCTGCTTTGAAGAGCCAACACTTTGGTGTGTCGACACATGTGCTATAGATGGCATCGATGACGCTGCAAAATGCCGAGGCTGAACTTGTGACCACAGTGCTCACTGAATCTCCAACTGCAGTCTGTTGTCATTGCAGACTTGAAATGCATGTATTGTAGGCACTGTAAGGAAAGGGGACAACCTTTGTATGTCGTTGAAGAGCTGTCATGTAGATCCAGATTTTTTGGTGATAGGGTATTAGACCACTCCTCTGAAACAGGGCTGTCAAACTCATTTTAGTTCATACAGCCTAGTTTGATCTCAAGTGGGCCAGACCAGTACAGCCGTTACATAAAAACCTGTAAACAACAAGCCCTTCAATTTTTTCCCTTCAGTATAAAGTTCATTCTGATGTTCATCCATTTACAAAACAAATGATGATATCCTCAGAAAAATATGAACAAAGTCAACAGTATGTCTCAGTTTTTCCACATTCAGTCAGTCTACTACTCACTGTCATTACAAGAGACTTTTTAAAATAATTTTCCACTGAAGTCAAAGCTGTTGAAGCAGCAGATGAAGTCATCCTCTGCCTTATAAACCATTTAGACTGAAGTTTTGTCAGTGCCTCAGCAGCAGGGTTTTAAGATATTAGTCTGATACAGATTTCTTTTGTACTGAAGCCTCTGGTTGACAATATTTTTGCACAATGTTCAGTGTCTTTAAATCTGACCACAGTGAGGTATTCATTGTTATTTCAGAGAGCTGTGGTCTGGTCGGGGTGGAGAAGCCTCTGAGGCAGCATTTTACATTAAGTATCTACTCACTGTTTAATCCTGGCTCCTCTTAGCCTTCAGAAGTTCATCAATATTGGGTGTGCAAATTCATCCAGTGGGACCCTTTGGCGGGCCTGTTCTGGCCTCCAGGTCGTATGTTTGACCCCCCTGCTCTAAAAGATAAAGTGGAAGTGTTTAAGCGCAGCTGCAATTCTGGCAACAGCTCTTTGGGCTCTATTAGTTTCCTCATGTTGTCTCCAAAATCATTAGAAGGTGTCTGACAGATTCCTTTTACAGTGAGTTCACACTACAAATTGGCATTCAGATGTATTTTGGGTTGCTGCCTTTGTAACTGGTACATACATTTAAAAGAAAAAAAGGTTTTGCTATTCCATGTCTTCTTACTCACTTGTCTGTTTTTAATTTGTGATTGTTGCTAGTTTAATTATAGATCAACTGGAAAATGGAGGAAACTCCAATGTACTAAAATAGTTTGAGATAGTGACAGATGGGAAACAGCGAACGTTTATGCACTCATGGAACAAGTTACTTGGGACTGGAGCCTCCTAGTTGTAGAATTTGGCAGCTACCATCTAACAACAGCTTCAGAGGTGAAGTTTCCTCTAAGACTGAATGTGATGAGGGAAGCCCTGCAATTCTCATTTAGATGGGAAGACTACAGAGCCTTCAGCAAGTTGTGTTGAACATGGCAACCAATTAAATCACTGAAATCAACAGGCCTACATTAGGGACAGGCGTTTATATGGGACAGGCCTTTAATTCCTTTCATGCAAAACTGTTGCTCAGCAAAGATGGGAAATACAATCAAATTATTTATTTAAACCTGTATGAATATTACTTGTACAAAAATTAGGCTTCAGATAATATATCAATAATGAATCATTCATTTGATCTAGCTCCGACAGGCAGGGCTTTAGAGAGAGTTACAGCACTCAAGGATTACAGCACCACTTTATCCTCTTAAAACAACTCTCACAAAACCATTTTGATTCTTTCGATCTGAGGACCCTTATGGACTAAAGGAATATGAATAACTTGCAGGGTAATCAAGGAATGGACACATAATTTGAAGTAGCCAACAACATGGTTTTATACATAGAAAAAAATGAATTGTTTTGCAGCCAGACCAGGCGTCTAATTGAAACAGGCATTTATTTGTCAAAACATTTAACCACGCCAGGCTAGCAAAAGGGACTGAGCTTTTAACTGAAGTTTTACAGTATACATAAAATATACAGTCTTTTATAATATTCTAGTCACTAATGGAAGTAAATATAACTGAAATGTTTCACAAGTAGATTTAAGTGTTATTTAGGCCACCTGGTTGAGGAAAGTTTTGCGGCATGAAAGACTAACTTCCTGACACATCAACCCAGATTAACACTCGGATTTGAACAGGTGCACATAGCTGCATATCTGTGTCATGTAGCTCTTGTGTCAGGTGCCTTTGCCCTGCCATTTGTGTTTGCTCTTATATCTTATTTGCCAGTTATGTTAAAAATTAACCACTTAAAATACAAAACAGGTCCACTCTAAACCAGGGATCCCAAAAAGTTGTAATAAGAACCTATTTTCTGATGCCTTGTGCTTAAAAAACATCATCTACTGATATTTGTTATAAAGTTTAATTTAAATTTTAATACAGCTTAATCTAAGTACTTCTGCGACCAGCTGGAGCTCCTCAGGGACCTGCAGGGGGTCCTCGCACCTGACATTGAGAACCAGTGTTCTGGTCTCCTCGGGAAGCTTCTGTGAGGACTGAGTGAAGGAAGTCGCAGCCCATGTTAGGAAATCTTCTCCCTGAGGCTCTGCTGCAGTCAACCGGACAGCTCAGGGTGGTGATCGCACACGGGATCTCTCTCCGAGACGAATCATAATAATAATAATAACGATAATAATAATAGTACTAATAATTTACCATCATGGCTCAGGCTAAAATACAAGCGAAAATGAACGAGGCTACGTGCAGCAAGTTCAGCAGGACGCTGTCCATGGCAGATCGCGCCGGACAACTCCTGGAAAGTTTGGATCAGCTGGAAATGAGGTAAGAGGCCCACCATGTGCATTATACAGGCATGGCACTACTGTGGTGCTGCACGCATTATGTATTATAGAAATATTATTGGAGGCAGCCGATCGCATCTAATTCAATTACAATATGTAGGTATTGTATTCATATAGTACTTTACCATCTGGATATATTATGATACTCAAATCATTATAATATTCCTATGTTTTTACACTAGTTTGTTATTTTTCATGTGAAAGGATGTGGTTTTGAATGGATGGTTGTGGTCATGTCCTGTTGTCTCTGTCAGGGTGGAGGCTCTCCGCGAGACAGCATCGGCCATGGAGCAGGAAAGGGAGAGCATCCTGGAAATGATCCAGTCCATTCAGAATGGCCAGGAACTGAGAAACATCAGCGCCGGTGAGTCACAAGTTTACTGTGAATTTAAGGCTGACATTACAGAAAAACTCTTACAGAGTCAGATCCACCCTGTTTGACTGTGTAGTACTCAGTAATGTGTCAGTAATCCACGTGTTTCTGCAGCTGCTTTGGTTTCACTGTAACATTGTGATCCAGTGAGGTTATGCTTTGAATGCTGCTTTGTAGTTGGGTGATGTCATTCAAGATCATCAGGGAACTCAAGAAGGGAGGCAACATGATAGTTATTGCACCCCACCCGAGTTCATGGAGTTTATTTTCCTCCTATATTTTACAAAGTTATTTACATTCAAATGATCATACAGTATGTCCTCATTTAAAAGAAAATGGTGCTAAACAGTGACCAAAGATGGTTCTTTGGCATATAATCATAGGAAAGGTGCTAAACGATGCATTTGTCAATAGGACCATTAAAGGTTCCATAAAGTAGGCTACCATAAAATTACATTTTTGAGCCTAGTGGGCCCTATATGATGCCAGACGATACCACTTAGGAGTCAGTATACTTTTAAAAGACTCTTTTACTTGAAATGTGAATGATTATTAGTCATTTCTTATGAACTATTGGCTTAAAAGTTCTAATCGAAAAGCTCACTGACAAACACGTCACCTTTGAGAACTGGAATATCTGTGCACATGGGGGCAAAAGGGTTGAGAGTCTGTGCTCTGATGTGTTATCCTCAGGAAATGCAGTGTTTGTAGGCTATTTTATGTAGCATTTTCATTCTTTTTATTCCCTAGAAAAATAAACTAAGCTGAAGAATTGGCAGGTAGCCACAAAAGAAAATACAGGGGCTTAAAAGGTTCTCTACAGGTTCTTCAATTTAGTTTAGTTTAGTTTAGTTTAGTTTATTTTACTGGGGAAATAACCAGTGGAGAACCTCTAAAGAACAAGACAAGGGCTTATGGTTATCTGCTGGATCTTTAGTTTAGTTTAGTTTAGTTTCATGAGGAAAGAGCCAGTGGAGAAACTCTCAAGAACAATACGGGGGGCTTAAAAGGTTCTCTACTGGTACCCTTTTGGTCGGTAGGCCTACATTTGGTACAACACATAGGCCTATGTATGGAGATTGCGTACTCACATGACCAACTGAAAGAACTTTTTCAAAACGCCTGTAAAGGCCAATGAGACTGTTAGGACTATAAATACCCTGTACAGTCTCATGTCCTCAACCAGCAGAACCCTCGCTAGAGACTTAACGGTCCGACAGTAGGTGAGCTAGTTCCCTACCCAGGACGTCCCTATCGAGGCTGGTTTCTGCTTTGTGCTTGTTAAGCTTGCTAACTAGCCACACTCTCTGCCATTTAGCTCCGCTAATGGGTATTTGTTTAGCCCCGCTAACAAATTATTCAGCTACTTCCACACCTGTCTAGCATTAGCTAACGGACAACTTGCTCATTTAGCCCGCTAGCTTGCGAGGTGGAATGGCCTCAGAGGAAAAGAAAAGAGGCTCTCCTGGCAGGTCTAGCAAAGCTAACAAAACAGGGAAAGCCAAATACCACCCATGCCCTTAGTTAAGTTAAGTTAAGTTAAGTTTAGTTTACTAAGGAAAGAGCCAGTGTAGAACCTCTCAAGAACAATATGGGGGCTTTAAAGGTCCTTTACTGGTTGTTTAGTTTAGTTTGGTAGGGAAAGAACAGTGGAGAACCTCCAAAAAATAATACAGAGACTTAAAAGGTTCTTTACTGGTTCTTCAGGTTTAGTTTAGTTTAGTATAGTTTAGTAACGAAAGAACCAGTGGAGAACCTCTAAAGAACAATACAGGGGCTTAAAAGGTTCTCTACTAGTTCTCCGGTTTGGTTTAGTTTAGTTTGGTGAGGAAAGTGCCACTGAAGGACCTCTCAAGAACAATACGGGGGCTTAAAAGGTCCTTTACTGGTTCTTTAGTTTAGTTTACTTTAGCTTGGTGAGGAAAGAACCAGTGGAGCACATCTAAAGAACCATACAAGGGCTTAAAAATTTCTTTGTGTGGCAGCTGTCCTATAGCATCATGCTAAAGAACAGATGAGAAACCAACATTTTCCTCTGTGTACATCAGTACAGTATTCTGGTACAATCCAGTGCAGTAACCTTGCCATAAATACCACCACTGTGAACCTTAAAATCAGTTTTGTGGAAGCTATAGTTTTGTACTGTTGTATTGCTATATTGCATTATATTGAAGGGTGGAGGAGGGAGGAGGCTGCAGCACAATTGAAATTCCACACACATGAGAAAAGGGCAACAATTTGAAACCAGAATCTCTGTGCCCTGAGGTGACACTGAGCCAATGCGCTACCCCTTGCGTTACATCGTATAGGTGATCTTACTGTGTCCACCACTGTATAGCCAGTGTTCTCTAAAGATGCAGCACTGATTTCTTTCTTGTGTTGTATTTTCTAGGGGAGAGAGAGGAGTTAAATTTGACTGCAAACCGTCTGATGGGCCGGACGCTGGCTGTGGAGGTCTGTGTTAACACAATCAGAAACTCACAGCAGGAGGAGGCTCTAAACAAGGCCACAGCTCTGATCGATGAAATAGTGAAAAAGTTACTGGATGACATGGAGAGCGGCCGGCAGCGGCTCCTGGCCCTGCACGCGGCCTGTGTGACAGAGGCCCCGCCCGTCCCCATCGACCAGAAGTTTCAGGCCATAGTGATTAGCTGTGCTCTGGAGGACCAGAAGAAGATCAAGCGGAGGCTGGAGACTTTGTTGAGGAACACTGAAAATGCTGAAAAGAACATCAAGATTATGGATCACCAAAAAGTGGAGATCCCAAAAGCCAACGGCTGTAAATAAGACCCATCACCAAAACATGTCTTAAATACCACTAACCTCACCAAGAACTGTTCGTGTACTAACTTTTAGAGGGACTCTAAACGTAGCAGCAAGTCCAGGTCTTCTGGGGAAATTACATTAATGCTGAACCTTTGGGCCAAAAATACAAAGCACAACTGAACCAGAAGGAATGTTACAGTGATTTCTGGACATAATCAAGTTGTACCTTTAGATTACTATCATATCCCTACGAAATATTATTTTTTAAAACGTGTATTCCCACTTCACAATGTGTGCTCACATGTGCACTGAGGTAACAGAAAAAGATTCAATTGCATAGTGCACCGTTGCAGGTTTGGTCACAGTTTCTTGTTAAATCCAGTGCTTGACAAACAATGAACCCAGTGATGAAGTATCTTTTCCTTTTATTGTCCCACCTCTTAAAATAAACACTCTGTAATGTTTTTGGATGTGCATACACTACCTCTTTGTGTGAAGGCGACACTGATCACATTAAGCTGTGGATTGTAGTTCACATTTTGCACAAAGCAGTTTTGGTGTCAGATTATGTGTAATTTACATTAATAAAAAAAACAAAATAAGTCCTCTGACAAGGGTGGCCTTTTGTTGTCATGTAAACACAAATACAGTAGATGAAGCAGCTACATTTATTTAATCAGGGCCCTGTTCTTCGTACATGTATGACCCAGTGAGTCAGATTTTTTTTTTTTTGGTCCTTTCAAGCTGTCTTAATTAATATCTGAAACTGTTGTTAGAGCAACAAGTCTTAAACCTGAACTTGCAAAATGGCTTATTGAGGAATCTTTATTTTTTTATCACAACTTAAGTTACCTTAAGTTAACTTAAGTTACCTATACTTATACATGATCAAATATAAACAAAATAAAGGTCTGTAGAGAAATAAGAGGCAATGCAAATGTAGTTGAGATACTGTGAGCAAAAATACATACAGTCAGGTCCATAATTATTTGGACAATGATACAGTTGTAATCATTTTGGCTCTGTACACCACCACAATGGGTTTTAAATGAAACAATGAATACCTGCTTAAAGTGCAGACTCTCAGCTTTCATTTAAGGCTTTTTTCAAAAATGTAGTATGAACCGTGTAGGAATGACAACCATTTCTTCACACAGTCCCCCGACTTTAAGGGCTCATAAGTATTTGGACAAACTAACATAATCATCAATTAAACAGTCAGTTTTAATACTTGGTTGCAAATCCTTTGCAGTCAATGACTGCCTGAAGTGTTGGACACATAGGCATCATCAGATGCTGGGTTTCTTCCCTGGTGATGCTCTGCCAGCCCTTTACTGCAGCCGTATGCACTTCCTGCTTGTGTTTTGGGTGTTTTGCCCTCAGTTTTGGCTTCAGCAAGAGAAACGCATGCTCAGTTGGATTCAGGTCAGATGATATGACTTGACCATCACAGAACATTCCACTTCTTTGCCTTAAAAATGTCTTTGGTTGCTTTTGCAATATGCTTCAGGTCAATGTCCAACTGCACTGTGAATTATCGTCCAATGAGTTTTGAAGCATTTGGTTGAATCAGAGCAGATAATGGTGCCCCAAACACTTCAGCTTTCATCCTGCTGCTCTTGTAAGCAAGACAAGACTTCACTAGAATAAATACAGAGGGTTTATCACAAGATGCAAACCATTGGTTAGCCTTAAAAATGGAAGGCCAGATTAGAGTTTGTCAAAAACCATCTAAAAAGCCTGTACAGTTGTGGAACAGCATACTATGGACAGATAAAACAAAGATCAACTACCAGAATGATGGGAAGACAAGAGAAGGAAGAAGGGAAGGAACTGCTCATGATCCAAAGAACACCACCTCATCAGTGAAGCATGGTGGAGGTACTGTTATGTCATGGCCATGTATGGCTGCCAGTGGAACTGGTTCTCTTGTATTTATTGATGATGTGACTGCTGAGAAGAGCATCAGGATGAATTCTGAAGTGTTTGGGGCTACATTATCTGCTCAGATTCAACCAAATGCTTCAAAACATTGGACGATGATTCACAGTGCAGATGGACATTGACCTGAAGCATACTGCAAAAGCAACCAAAGACATTTTTAAGGCAAAGAAGTGGAATGTTCTGCAATGGCCAAGTCATATCATCTGACCTGAATCCAACTGAGCATGCGTTTCTCTTGCTGAAGCCAAAACTGAGGGCAAAACACCCAAAACACAAGCAGGAAGTGCAAACGGCTACAGTAAAGGGCTGGCAGAGCATCACCAGGGAAGAAACCCAGCATCTGATGATGCCTATGTGTCCAACACTTCAGGCAGTCATTGACTGTAAAGGATTTGCAACCAAGTATTAAAACTGACTGTTTAATTGATGATTATGTTAGTTTGTCCAAATACTTATGAGCCCTTAAAGTCGGGGGACTGTGTGAAGAAATGGTTGTCATTCCTACATGGTTCATACTACATTTTTGAAAAAAGCCTTAAATGAAAGCTGAGAGTCTGCACTTTAAGCAGGTATTCATTGTTTCATTTAAAACCCATTGTGGTGGTGTACAGAGCCAAAATGATGACAACTGTATCATTGTCCAAATAATTATGGACCTGACTGTAAATGCAGCCAAAAGATTCTGTTTAAAAGAACAATGGAGCCAGAACAGCATTTAATTTGACACTAGAATTAAAATTTGTCATTTGAACACTAAAACTTATAAAAGGTCTAGTGTGCAGGATTTAGTGGCATCTAGTGGTGGGGTTGCAAATTGCAACCAACTGAAATTTCTCCTGTGTGTCAAGCATGGGAAAACTTTGGTTATTGATGCGAAAATGCAGCTGGCTCTGTCTAGAGCCACTGTTTGGTTTGTCCGTTCTGGGCTACTGTAGAAACAATATGACAAAGTCAAATTTACGTAGACAAAAGCTGGTCATTCTAGGTAATGAAAACACAATGATTCTTAGTTCCAGGTAATTATACACTAAAGAAAACATAGGTATGAATATTATACTCAATTTCTGCCAACATATCCACCTAAATCTTACACACTGGACCTTTAAATTATGAATGGCTTTCACAATTAGGTTTGATTATCTCTTAAAAGTCTCTTGCATGTCCACTGAGGAGACCCTCACCTCATCATGTACCAGCATTCACTGGTAATATCTAATGTTTAACAGTATAGAAACACGGTGGCGAACAACGTAGAACAAAATGATACCCATATCAATGCAAGTTAGTTCACACATAAAGAGACCATTTATCTTTTGCCTTAGTGCATGCTGGGAAGGCTCCCAACACACCTACCTTATTATCTATAATCAGTCCTGCTCTGCAGTCAAGCAATCATGTTAATGTTGATCATGTTTTCAAAGCTCTACACATTTTGCCTTTATTCCAGAAAAAGAGTGCAGTGTTATTTGAATTATGTTTTATTTTGGGAAGAACTGTCCCTTTAAAAGATTGTACTGGCAGAGGAATATTGTCATTTGAAATTACACACTGGATGCCCAAGAAAAAAAAGTAAAGTTTTATTTATATCAGATTACCATCGACTCCCCCCCCAAACATAACATCAGGTGCACAGCAGTATGGCATGCTTAAAGTTAAAGTGATATATTTTTTATTGTTAAAAAAAAATCCAACAATGAGTGTTGTTTTTGTCAGAGTGAGAGCATACATACGGTTTGTCTATCTAAATGTGTGAAATTGATTTGTGAAGAAGCAGAATAACAGTAAGACACAGAGATCATTACAACACCTGAGTGACAGCACATAAGTATGGTTAGTTTTTACTTTACGGTTCTCTTAAGATTACATGCCATCGTCAAGATAAAGTGCGCTAAATCCATTCAGTCAAAAAAGCAAAAAAGGCAAAGTGAACACAATGTTACAAATAAAAGAAAGCTTAGGGAAATAATTATGTACAGATTTACTGTGCAGGCAATTAAAACAAACAGCAAGAGGAGGGACTGAAATGCTTACTGGTGGTCAGAGGGGGAGAATGTAAACAAAGACAAGGCATTATGGCGTTGCAGCCGTGGCTGCACATTCACCGATGTGGAAAAAAGGCTTGCATGCATTACAGTTATGCCACTTTTTTTTCTTTTTTACAAAACAGCACGGTTTACAGACAACCTAATGAGAGAGCTTGAAATGTGACATAATCTTCGTACCAATGGTAGAACTGGAACATTGTTTAAGCACCTGTTGGGATTTTCACAACAGTCCCATCTTTAACATCTCGAAAATAAAGTTCATTTAAAACAGATCTGAGATCAGTTGCAAAACTTTTTAAAAAGACAAAATGCATGCACATGTATTCCCAGATGCCCCATGTTTTCTAAATGCATGTAAAATATTATTAATATGGAAATGTTGATAACTTTGTTGTGCTTAGTAAACCGGTGTCTTCATGAGATTTGGGGGGAAAGAAAATAAAAGGCATGGTGCAGACAAGGCAGTGACACAGTTCACAGATACGTACTGAGTATTGAGCATTCATTTGGGAGATCTGTTTTGGAGGGCCATCAAATAGTGAGGAGAAACTGAATTTTCTTGCATATTCAGGCACACACAAGCAAAACGTCCCACCCTGAAGGTCAGCTTTTTGTACGTTCAGAGAGCCGGGGTTCACATTCCGCTCAAAACTCTGAGCAGTGAGCTTTTCAACTTTCTAGTCCCACTCCTCCTCCTTTTTTACCCATCAAAAAGGAGCAGAATAATATTTACAAAGTAGAAATTTTATTTAGATACTACAGAAGCAAAACCGAGAAATAAAATCCAAAATCTTGTACCATGTTTAGTGTTTGAAATGTTAGAAATAAAGTGAAACGTGAAAACATAGATACTGATATTTGCTTACTCTGGAAAAGCTGTACCAAAGTTAAAGAAAAGCATTTACATATGTAAAATGTAAACAACTGCAATTAAAAACATAACGCTATAACTGACTGTGACTTCAACTTGTGTTTTACATCACAAAGTCTGAAACTTTGTGAAAGTCCCGATTAGCAAATCTGTAAATAAGCGTGTGAGCAGACATATAGAGGAATATTTTGTGTCGATAGTTATTGATATTTGGTTATAGATAAAAACACATTCTATTCATTTCATGTTACATCCATCATCACCGCAGTGTTACGTTCAGAAAGAGGAAATTTGGCACTATGTCAACACTTTAGTGAAAATATCACCCAACACTGTTTTGATTCGTACAAAAATACTTCTGCACAGAGAATTAACTGTGGATTCGATAGTGTTTTGTCCACAATAAAAGTTTGAACCATATTGTGCTGACAGAAAAAATATGGTACTTTTTTTTTTGTATCCTACAATACACGCAAACATATTGCACAGTTGAAATGTCAAACACAGGAAGGGGAGACTGTCAAAATCATAAAGAGGAGTTTTCATAGATCAGGAGTGCAACCTTTGCTGCTTTGATGACAGGATTGTATGTCGAGTCGTATCTAAATAACAAACAGGTACTGTAGCTGCTGCTGTTACTGAGGGCAACCACAAGGATACAAAGATACAAAGGTTTGTGCACAGATCATTGCTGGAGAGCCGAGGCTGAATTGAGGGAAATTCAGCCATCAGTGTGGGGAGAAAACTTACAGATTAAACGTCAGGTTATTAAAGTAGTATGGAGTTGTGTTTCCCAGTCTGTTTAGGCTTTGGTCTCTAAATGTGGCTACCTCCACAAAGTAAAATAATGACCAATTTTAGTCTCAGAAACAATAGTGAGTCACTAAAACTAAATTATTCTTATCTAGAGTACACTGCAGCTTCCAAAAGGATTTTTACTCTTCTTGGTCCTTTGTTTGTTAGGTCGTAAAGTGATGACTTCTCTGCCGTTGCTGGAGCTCTGGTTGCAGACGTTACTACTTGTGGTATTAAAAACACCTTGGGAAAAACAGAATATATGAGTAATGTCAAAAACACCTTGGGAAAAACAGAATATATGAGTAATGTCACCCTACTGACAAAATAAAACTTAAAGTGTAACATAAAAAATGATAAACAGAAAGACTCCTCACCTATTTTATTGCTTGTTGTGTGGAGCACCTCTGTCTCTTCTGCCGTTTGCTGTTTGAGTCTCTGGAGATACTTCTCAGCTAAGTACTTAAAAACTAAAAAGAGAGAACCAGCAGAAATGTTACAATACTAACATCCAGAATGAGACTCTTTCAGTTGCATTAGACAAGTTGTCCAAATTTTCAGTAACCCACCCTCGTTGACATTGAGGTCCTCTTTTACTGAAGCTCGGTAAAATCTCAGCTTGAGCCTTTTAGCCAAACCTTCTGCCTCCTCGCTGCAATTGAGATAAAGAAAATACAATTCAAACTCAGTACTATTTGTCTTTAAAGGTATACTACGCAGAATTAAAAAAATGAGACAAATGTCAAAGAAATCCCTCTTCATCATCACTTTTTATCCACGAGAATAGTGTGGCAGTGTATTTATCTGCAGAGACTCTGCCCTCTGCCTGTATCTTCTCATTTTGCTATGTTTGTTTATGTGTGTAGCTACCAGCCAATGCCAGCAGATTTTCTAAAAAGGTAGCGAGTCACAGCATGCATCCAAGAGAAAACTGTGAAAAATGCCTGCAGACACAGCTACAAAAAACAAAAAACAAATATAGCTGGTGAAATACTGAGCAGACAAAGTTTGTTCCAAAACAAGAGCGAATCTGAAGTTGGCTTTCATTTTCACTGGTGAGCACTGAAGGTTAGGATGAGGAGTGACACAGAGTTGGCTTGTTTTCTGTGGGACGGGTAGGTGCCAACAGTTAGCTTAGTTAGCTTTCTAAAATATCTGCTTTTCTGTTATAACTAAGCAGTGTATGTAAAAGCAGTGTATAGTGAGGAGGGGCCACGTTTGAATGTTGTGTTGTGTTTAGTGACCAACAATTACTGCACAGTATACCTTTAACATTCAGTGGATTACTGTTACTGTGTGATTTTTGCAAAAAAAAAAAAAAAAAAGACACATCTACTTACTTTTTTATAACCGTTTCTTCCAGAAGGTCAATTTTGTTTTGCACGAGAACTGTGGGAATGTCTCCGACCTCCGCCTCCACCTTCTCCCTCCAACTGTCGATAGCCTGAAATGACTCCCTGTCTGTGGTAGAGAAGACTAGCACACACGCTTGGGCCCCTAGAATGTAAAACAACACAGAAACAATTCATGTTTGCAAGTTGGTCATTCTTTAAAAAAATGACTTTGACCTAATATATAGTTCATCCTCCACATGGAGGATGGAAAACATTGGGTCAACTTTAGAGCAACCCTACTGGAGATTCATTTTTAGTTCAAAGACATGTTTACAGTGCATGTGCTCTGGTTAAAAGCCATGCTGCCAGTGGTGCGTAAAATCTGTGAAGAATCTAAACTTAACTTCAGCGGTCAGGGAGGTCAGCGAGCCAGAGCAGCAGTGTTATATTTGTCATGGTGGAGGGGTCTTACCACGGTAGTAGGCCTTGGTAATAGCGTCAAACTCCTCCTGCCCAGCAGTGTCCCACAGCATTAGCCGCACCTCCTCGTCATTTACACTAAAACAAAGAGAAGGCAGTGATGATGAAATATAGGCTATGATTGATAGAGGAATGTAAACATCTGTGAAACAAGCTGCTTACACTATCTGCCTTTCCAGGAAGTCAACTCCGATAGTCTTTTTGTAGTCCTTAGTGAAGATGCCCTTGCAGTACCGTTGGATCATACTGGACTTGCCAACAGCTCCATTGCCGACTACGACCACCTTGATGGCCACTTCCATGTCCTCCTCCAACATGGTGGCAACCTTTGGCTGGTTTACTCAGTTCCACTCTGTCTGGGTAGTTTCAGTGACGTGACACGGACACATATACCACCTGGAAGTGTAAAATAAGCAAAACATTATTGTATGACATATGTTTGGAGAAGTAAAAGGCATCCAGCAGAAACAGCAGGAAACTAACTGTAGCTTGTATTCCAATGTAAGCTCTCTTTACTCAATAAATCAATATGGATTTCTGTTTATTATTATCAGAGGAACAGTTACAATGAAACTACTCCCTTGTATCTACTTACTTTAGCTTTTATTAGACACCAAACTGAACCAATTTGAGACACCAAACTGATTAATCCATGTGTGAGATCTGTGCTTCTACTAAACTTTGCTCCGATTTGCCAACAAAAAAAAATAGCTCCTTTCCATTAATATGATTTATAATAACTGATATAACTGAAAGTAGTCAGCTTTTATATGATGACATATTAGCACACAAATCAGTGGATCTGGCAATAATATGAAACATAATTTTCCATTTATCTTTTTGTACACATATGAAAACTCTGAAGTATTTAATTTAAATTTTATATAGCCTGCCAAATTCTAAATTTATTACTATCAGCACTACAGTTTACGACAACAACTGCACTGTTGAGGGACTGCACTCTAGTAGATGGTTTTATATGCACAATGACTGGAGTTGTCCTTTTAACTATCATGTGTGCTCGCGTCGGACTAACCGTTGTAAATTTTTACGAGGATCGTGTTTGCAGTGACTGTGCAATGTGTTTATTCTTCCATTAGCAGTGAGAGCAGCAGACTCCGCATAGCAACTGGGTCGTCCACAGTTGTATGCGTGTAGCTGCTGGGTGCAATGCTAAACAACATATTGTGGGAAAGCTGTTCCCAGTGGATACTGACAACCTACTGTGTGACTGTGGTGTCCAACAGCCTGTCTGGATTTGAGTCACAATATGTATTCCAGTCAACGATATTATTCATCAACTATAATTGAGCTGTGTGACGCAGCAGGTGTTGGAACAGGCGGGCAAAGAGTGGCTTAAAATAAACAGCGTGCTCTTGTTTTTATAGACTTTTTGATATGAACAAATTAATTGGTTTACAACAAAATATACATTTGGGCTTTGATTTAACCTCTGCAATCTCTTATATATATCTAACTCATGTTATGACTCAAGACCCCCTTCTTTCTTTCCAGTTTGATTCACAAGCCAAGTTACATATTTGCAATTCTCTCCTCTCTCTGTGTAATAATTTCTACATGCATTACTGAAATTTGTTACAGAGCGACAGAAATGGAGTCAAAGGCTGGCTATGTACTCTGGCTGCTATTTTGTGTCACCACCTCTACACACACACACACACACACACACACACACACATATATATATATATATATATATATATATATCCTGATGTTAACATCAATAATAGGGGTGGGCAGGTAATAAGTAATGATCAATTACTGTCTATCACGTTTTATATCTTGAATATTCTACTCAAAGTGTGATTCAATCTGAAAATTTAAAATTAAGACATCAACCTTCTCCTACAATCATTTCTAAAATACCTGAGATTGGCAGCCGAAAATGAGAGTTCCAGTGTGACACCCCATTACCATCAACGCCAGTATGATAAACACCAATCAGACATTTAAACAACTGATTTTCTGTATCAGCACAAACAACTATCCTGTGTATATTGTGGGTCTTCCAGTTATTATATTTTTCTATCTACGATGAGATACTGGTGTCAAAAATATTGATATATCAATACATATCGATTCTGAGTATTTAATACTGTGTCGATACTCAATTTTTTGCGGTATTGATATCCCGGTCTGGTACCAGCTGCAGTTTCTCCTCTCTCTTTTTAGTATTAACCTCAGTTATTCTGCTGTTCTCTGCTATTGACCAAGAAAAGAATAGTTGTTGTCATGTCATAGCTTTGCTTTATTTAGCTTTTTATAAAGAATTTCAAACTATATGCCCTGAATGTCAATTTTTCCCTGTGATGTTAAAAATAGTATTGAATATCAATGGTTTTTTAGATACTGTATCAAAGTTAGAAATCCCAGTATGGTGACAACACTACAATGAGACAATTTTCCCTTTGATGCTACACATATTAAAACATGACAGACTGAATCTGAAATGTACTCCTGTATTTTAGATAGCAGGTTATCCTATGCATTACAATGCACATATAAATGAGCTCTGATAAGTATGTAGAAGACAACCCACCTCCCCTCCTGGACTGTGAGTCATCTTCACAGACTCATCGTTACTTTCCCCCAGGCCTCAAGGTGGGGCACCGTTAAGAGACAATGTTACAGAGAATAAAACTATTATAATGCGATAAGATGTACTACTTATTTCTGTTGAGACTTGCTGTGGCTGCAGGTGGTATTTCCAAAGTCTGTGAGGGGAATTAAGTATTAAGTCAACTTTTTATTCTGCTTTAACACCCTCAAATCACAGTGCCTTGCCTTGGTCAAGATAAGACCTGTTGAATAGCTGGCAGGAAGGTCTCCAGGTACCAAGCAGCTGCTGGTGAAGCCCGTTAGAGATGACTGAAAGACTGACTGACTGTGCCGGTGAGGAAAGATGTAAAGCTAGCAGACCCACAGAGTGAGCAATGTCTTACCTGTAAACTCACGTTTCAGATCATCCAGTGTCCGCCAACATGAGCTAACCCACATTCACATATCTTCAGCCTCCCTGTGCTCTTCTCTGTGGCAGGAGGAGACGCCAGTGACTCCGGTGCTAAGGTTACCTAGCTAAGGTTAGCCACTTTTCCCAGAGAAAAGAGCCCTCTGCTCCGCCCGTTAATGATGCCAAGCTAATGACTACTCGTACCTAATGCTCTCTGCATCAAAACGTCGGGTAAAGTTTAACTAACGTCGACAGCTGAGTAAAACCTGTGACATTTACTGGATGAAAGCGCATTGCTTTCTATCCGCAAGCCTTCGTTCCAGCTAACTACGTTGCGCATGAGAGTAACTAGCCAACCAGGCAACTGGCTAGCTCGCTAATGTTTGTTGCTAAGCAGCAGGAGAGTCTTCTTCTTCTTCTACTTCTGTTTGGTTTGTGGCGGTGTTGAGGTATCGCATTACCGCCACTAACTGGTATACTGTGATAATGATAAAACATAAAATGTCAATACTGTGTACATTGCTTTCCAGAGAAACTGATGTAAAGGTATAAAATGTGCATATTTTCAGTAATAATAATAATAATGATACTACTACTACTACTAATAATAATAATAAGCAAGGCTTTATTAATCCCAGCAGTTTAAGAGTCAGAAGCAGGTAAAACATGTGATTACGTCATAAAAAAAATGACAAAACAGATAATAAAATAAAATAAAATTAAATTAAATTAAATTAAATCTAAATACATAAAATATACACTCATTGTGTGTAGTATATTTACTGTAAAGATATAGAAATGTAACCTATAAATATTATTGCACAGTAGTGGTTAAGTATTGTACAGTATGAAATTGCACAACTATGTTACACAGTATAAATAAATAAATAATATGGATGTGAACATATATATATGTGAATATGTATTATATGTATTTTATGAATAAATATTCTATCTATCTATCTATCTATCTGTCTATCTATCTATCTATCTATCTATCTATCTATCTGTGCTGTCTTGTTAAAGAGTCTGACTGCTGTTGAAATAATTTGCAAAATAAAGCAGAACATTTGAATACTTAAGTAAAGTGCGTGTACTTTGGTACAGTTCTTGAGTCTATAAACTTAGTTACTTTCCACTACAGCCTATTTTTGACAGCCCCTGCTGCAGTTGTTGGAATGTTATGAATATTTATTGTGTTCGTGGATTCACACTTAATTACAGAACAACCAAGATAACAGTTTATAGTTTTTCAAACCTTCTATTTACTTTTATTAGTAACTGCAGGGAGCATCTCGTTAAATAGACACACTGGTACCTACATTTTGCATTTTAGAAATCACAAACCACAAGTTCTGGGTGCGTTTGTTATGTAGTGCAGATAATCCCGAAAGCCGCTGTTGCATTTAGGTCGACGGCGGGAAAAAAAGTCAGGAAAATTGCACGCTAAATAAGCCAGTGCTTATTTTAGATATTCAGCTGCACGACTGGTTTGTAGTCATCATAGAAAACTGAGAAGCATTTTCTTCTTGTATGCTTTCACAAAGGATATCGTCAATGGCAGAGACATGGCAGGCCGGCCGGAACAACTAAACGAGCGCTCACACTGTGTGACAGGTTTCTCTTCCTGGTTTGTCTAAAATCGTCATCATTTACCCGCGTTAGTTGAACCACCCACTTTGTTTGGCGGGCTTGAACTAAGAAGAAGCAGCTTCATCGTCTAATCGGTAATGTAACGACAATATAACCGTTTAAATGCTGCTATTGTACTTGTTTCAAGTTGTGTGATACGTCCCTGGAATAGTTTTAGTCGGTCCTCGTCGACCCCGTTTCCATGGAGTTAACTGGTGTTAGCTAGCATCTGTGTCTGCGTTGGGGAAATGTGTCATTGTTGTTGACTAACTTTGCGCTGAAGATACAGTATTGTTAGCTTTAGCGAAGTCGTTTCATGCTTAATTATGTCGTGTGGGTACAGCTGGTTTTATGGAAAAGGGGGATACCACTTACTTTAGTTGTGTTGTAACACAATAAATTGCTAACGTTAGCTAATGTTATCAGGTCATTTCAATGGTTTGATGCCTGTCAGAGTTTGTGCTTTATGTGCAATGAGCTGCACAATAGACCTTGTTCAGTGAAAGCAGCTTTGTAGCCAAGTTGTTGCAGATGAAAACATATTTTGACATAGATAAAATGCTCTCTGCATGAATATTTTCTTTCTATACCCTTACATGTTCTTTAACAGGTGGACTATGATCTGTGGTGTGGGAACACATCTGTAATCTGCTGCCCATGTTACAGGGGCCCAAGTTATACAGCTCAGACAATAGGCAGTATTTTTAATGTTTTTGTGTGTGTTAAGAGGACAGACCAAATGAGGTTAATGGATCGCTAATTGTTGACAAGGGGGCGTCTAATAATTTGTTTCAAACATATATATACATTTTATTTTCCCCCCAAATGCCAGCACCCATTTAATGAAGACAAAATATCTGAAGCCTCTATAAACAGAAATACAGCGTGGTGCATTGGAGAAGAGGCTTGCTACTTACTTGAAGCTCCCACTGGTCTGTATTGAAAATTGTAGTTATACCAAACATGCCAGTGTGGTGATGATGACTTGTATCCTATTGTCTGGTGATACATGATGCTTCTTTATTAAAAGACATTCTTATTTTCCTATACCATCAGGAACTATGCTGTTTTCTGGCAGAAGAAGGAAGATCGCCGCCAACGAAGGCCAGGCGGAGCTGTATGGACATCCTCTGCAGTTCTATGTGCAGCCTCCTCTTGAAAACATCTCTCTTGCTGAATTTGAGGCGTTTGCTGTGGACAGACTGAAATGTAAGACCTGGGTCTCTTTCCAGTCTAATGATATTTAAATTTAGTGTTTTCACTGCTGTAATGAAATACATTTGTAATATGCTTAAAAATGGCCTGATATTTATAATGTCTGTTTTTGTTACCACTACAGTGCTGAAGACAATTGAGAATTTGGGAGTGAGCTATGTGAAGCTGTCAGAGCAGTACACAAAGAAACTGGAACATGAGTGTAAAACCCTGAACTTTGCGTACAGATCAGATGCTGTGAGTATGTTTAACAGGACGCACATTGTCACATTACTGCCTGCCATGAGTCATAAAAGCTGCTTACTTGCCAAAATAAAGCTGAATTCCCATAGCCTAAATTAATGTAAGATGGCATACAGGTATTGTAAACATCACTGTTGTAAAAAGTATACAACACGCTCTTGACTTGTGAATATGGTCACAAAACCTTCTTTAAAAATCTTTTATTTTACCTTGCAAGTAAAATTATGCCCAACAAGCCAACACAAGTTAAGAAGTTGTGAATCATGACAAGAAATATGTCATAAAAATACTGTACCTTAACCCATTAAGGATGACCGAAAAACTCAGACTGGACCGACTGAATTCGAGAAACGAAGAAAGGACCATATCTCCCACTTCATCCTCAGACTTGCCTACTGCCAAACGTAAGTCTGTAGTTTCTGAAGAATGATTGTTGTTAATAAAAAAAAAGAATAAACATGCTGTGAAAATGAGTGTCTGAATAAATGTTTATTTGTAATTGCATCTTAAAGGGAGGACTTGAGACGGTGGTTTATCCAACAGGAAGTCGATCTTTTCCGCTACCGGTTCAACGAGCTGTATCCCGAACAAAAGCTTGAATTCCTGCACAGAAATAATTTGCAGTATGACACGGTAAGTTTTAACACCACTTTTTACTTTGACTCAAAATGTTAATTTATTGCTTAAAAATTACTACAATATTTGAAGGGTATATTTGAAAACCAGATAACTCAATTTTTATTTATTTTCCATATATGCCGTATGTGCGTATTCGCAAACCAGGAAATATCAGTCAAGCTGATGTTGGATGTTTTCATAAGATATTTCAGAGTTTTTACATTTTTATAAAGCAGGTTTTTCTTGTACGATCAATTAAATATCAATCAAATTAGTGGTTATTCATTTTAAGAATATCTCATATCTGTTTTTACAAATAAAGTCTTCATTTTCTTTTTTGCTACCTGAGACTTACTTACAACTCCCGTACTGTTGTTGTTCACCTCTGTCCACATCTGTAAATGTAAATGCTTGTGGACTGATCTGAACAGGGCACTATATGAAAGTGTTTTTAGAATATGTATTTATACAAACCTTCAAATATGAGCAAAACTGTGTTTAGACTCTGAAAGTAATGAGCAGAGTTGAGGTTTTATATCAGCTAAAATGATATCTATTGATGTCACTAATGTGTGTCACTAATTTCTGTTGTAACTGTGGAGTAATTAAAAATCTGACTGACAAAGAAGCCGACACAGAATCTCATGTATTAGTGGATATTAGGAAAAGAAAACGAGAAACAGGGCAGGGAAAGGAACATTTGTGCTCAGCTGCATGCTCACTAGGTGGAGCTGTTTGATCACTGTAACAGGACCCATGAATGTTGAGGGTTTCCTTGAAGGGTGATAAAAAAAAGTTTTAATGTTAAAAGCATTTTGTCTTGCACTATAGTTGTTTTAATGTGTGAACAAACAGTGTTTCCAAGGTGATAAATATACACACGTGCGATTTTTAACATTCGTAGTAATCCTGATTAAATGTGAATTTCTGTTTTTAGTGTCTTTTACTTTTAAGTGCATCTTTAGACCCACTCAGGGAAGGCACTGTGACAGGTTTCCATGAAATGGAGGTGACTCCTAAAAGGAAAAATGGAAAAAAACTATTCAATAATTTATCCAAACATAATGTGTCAAGCAAGGACGAAAATGGCGCGTTCATCTGATAAACGATGTGAGCCACAGCCTTCAGTGTCTAAACACTGGCGCAGTTCTGTCTGTGCAGCTCTTCGCTGAAATTCATCACTCTCATCAATAACTTTTCAGATTAGTGTCGAGGAGAAGAAGGCCCTGTCGGATAAACTTGTCAACTCCAGTTACGCCGTCAGTGGAATCACTGTGGAGAACCAGGACTTCTACAAAGTGAGTTACTCATTTCTCTCTTTCTCTCCACTGAGACCACTAAGAATGTTTAAGTGCCTATGCCTCCACAAAACACATTTTATATACACCGTTATTCTACGATTTATTTTCCTGTAGTTCCCACAGTGAATGAAGAAGCAAGCCATCGAGACATAGTGCTGCTAACTCATTGTTTTGTGTTCTAAATGTCAGAACTTTGAAAAAGAAAAGGCAGTGTTAGCATTGGTATCTTCACAGACAAGAAAATGTTCTTTTGTTAAAATCACCCTGTAATTATCTTCAGTGATTATTATCTGCATTTACCATCAAAAGCTCTAGTGTTTCCCCCATGAGTCCATTATTGGGCTACTTTTGAGTTGTTAATGCTCAGTTTGACAAAG